ATGGAGAGAAAGATGGAGGAGAGGGAAGGAAGGAACAGAGGAAGGAGGGAGGGACGAGGGAAAGGAGAGAGAAAAAAGTAGCATGTTGCTTGGATTTAGTCCCTCATTTGCTTACACAGAGAAAGGGCTCGGAAGGTCACAGACGGCTGATGTAGCTTCGAGGGGGCAGGTGAAGTGGGGTCATGAGAACCAGGAAGGATCATCACGTGCTTGGGACGTGTGTACCCCTAAAGTGTGCGACCCTGACAGTGCACTCAGGTACCACGTGGTGACGAAACACAGTAATGAAATAAAAAGGGAAAGAACAAAAAGACTTCAAGCTATAGATTATTAAAGCAAATCCTTGACATTTAAAGACAGGAATAAATTGTCCCTTGGGATATGTTGCTGCACATTTTTTTTTTTTTTTGCACGAGTAATAGTTTGGCCTTGATTTGGTGAACATGCTCCTCATTTTAATATTTTTGATTAAAAATATATAAGCATACTTCTTGGAAAACAGAATAAAATTTCAGAGACGTCACCACAATCTTTTAAACTTATTTTCAGTTCTTGGACCTTAGGTCATGAGACTCTTCATGGTTTCTTTTTTGTTGTTGTTGTTGTTTTGAGACAGGGTCTCACTCACAGCGATCCTCTTGCCTCATCCTCCCGAGTGCTGGGATTACAGGCGTGCGCCACCATGCCTGGCCACTACATGGTTTTTTAGAGAGGTCTTGGAAGACATATAAATGAGAACGGTTGGTGGGGGGTGTTAGCCATATCTTCGTTGTTGGGAGAGAACACTTCACACGCAATTGAAAAGAGAAAAGATTTATTCATTTCTATCTGGCTCATAGTTTTAGAAGTTTCAGTCCATAGTCCGCTGGCTCCAAGGCAGAAACATCATGGCAGAAGGACCTGGAAGAGGAGAGCTGCTCCCTCAAGGCCCCAGGAAGCAGAGCTGGGGAACGGGGGGACCAGGAGGTCCCCGAGGGAGGCCGTATTCTCTCCTCTCACCTTCACACACCCAGATGTGTGCTTCTCCTTTCTGAGACAGCTCTCAAGCAATCAGCTCCACAATGGAGACCAGCTGTCACAAGGAGAGGTTAGGAAAGTCCTAAGATAAGCACGCTTTCTGACTCCTATTCTACTTAAGGGAGTATCCTAAACAAAGTATATTTTTAAAGAAACCAAAACATTTCAGCTGTAAAAGAGTTTAAGGAAGTGTTTGCAACTGTGAAACCATCCAAATAGGGAAAGGATGGATAGGGTACTAGTGAAAACAGAACTGGGTTAAAATGTTACCTCTCCTATCCCTGACTCGGTAGGTATATAGCTCTGATCAACTAACAGTCCCATTGCCACAGACAGACACGGATACGGAAATGAGGATTAAAGATGCCCAGAACACACACGCGCGCGCACACACATACACACACACACACACACACACACACACACACACACACACACACACACACACACACACACACACACACGCATGCAGACGCGCAGTGGGTATTTAATTACCTACCCCATTCAGCTTCACTCTTTACTGAATAATCCATGTACAACATCTGGATCAGTGTTGGGCACACAGTAGATTCTCACTGAAAGGTGGCTGTTACTAAGGAGACGATGGTTCATACCTGTGATGGGATACACACGTGCAAAAGGCTGGTAAATAAAATAGGCCTGGAAGGGCTGGAGTTGGAGCTCAGTAGAGCACATTTCTAGTATGTTTGAGGGTTTGATTCCCCAGAGAGGGGGGGGAGGGAGAGAGGGAGGGAGGGAGAGAAGAAATCCATGAAAATGCTTATTTACAAAACAAATAACAGGTTCTTAATTCTTGAGTATGAGTTTAGCTAGGGGTTCAAACAGAGAGATGGAGAAATTGAGATAAATTCGTTCAGAAAAGTAGACTATACTGAAAACACCTTCACTGTGAGGTGAGGAGCCAGGGCATTTGCTTTTTCTTCCTGCTGTTCTCTAACGCATCTGTCTGATCTCCAAAAGTCCTAACCTTGCCTCCAAGGCTCTGGAGAGCTCTACGCGCTCTGGACAGAGGTGGCTTTGATCAGAACCCGGGAAAGACTTGGCCCAGCCCTGTCTGACGCTCAGCGGCACAGGCAAGGCCGGCTCTGAACAAGAGAGATGCTCTGCAGGGACAGGTGTTGTAGGCTGGGTTCGCAGGGCAGACAGCGCCCGAGGCAGGGATTCCAGCACAAGGGAATTTTTTGCGGGCGGAACCTGTGCAAAGTGAAAAAAGCAAGAAGGATAAAGGGAAGAAATTCTGCAAGGATGCGGTTTCAGGCAAAGCCTGGACTCACCCTGATCACACCAGAACTCGAGAGTGGGAACGAGGGAATGACTTGTCCCCGGTGAGCTGGGAATTGTGGGTGACGGTCCTGCCCAGCTCTGTGGTCTATTTCGCAGTGCATCATTCGGCCCCGTTCTACCATTCACTTTGACTGAGGAATTGCAGGTCATAATTTCTGTGTCCGACACGCTCAGGTGATCCCTAGTGATCGCGATACCATTCCTTGTCCCCTCTTGTCGTGTGCACCCAGAACATCGAGTCCTGTTGGAACAAACGTAAAGCAAAGTGCAAGACCATGAGAAGGAACCCTTGTGATACGCTGATTCATATTTGGCCAGGTGTGTGTGGCTTGGTCTATTTGGAAACAATGCTTTCAATTCCACCTTGCTGCATATATATGAGAACAATTTCCTGCTAACTGAACATAGATGTTTCAGATTTTGGTTTGAATACAAATATCCTGGGACAAATTCTTCAACTGAATGCCTTTAAGAGATAAACCGTTCCAGCCATACTAGCAGTGTTCACTGTGCCACAGCGGTTGTCCCACGCTGAGGCAGGGGAGGGGGCCCTTTGTACCCACACACCGGTGTGCGGCCTGACGTGGGGAGCAGGGGTCCCTCCTGGGTACGTCGGTGGTGATGCAGTTCTAGGTGCCCGAGCATCATACTCAGAGTGGGTTACAGGTAAGAGTTATGGCAGCAGCTGTGGGGTGTCCACACTGACCCAAGAGGGCCCCGGGTGGCCTAAATGGCCTGGCAGAACCAGTTATCTCAAAAGAGGAAATTAGTCTCCCTTTGTCCCAGCCCCTAGCTTAGTAGGAGCCAGGAAAGCAACAGGAAACCATCTAGTACCTCAGGACTCTGGCTCTTGTGGGACACGGGAAGGAGAGTCCTCCTCTGGCCAGCCTAAGGGAAGGCAGCAGGGAGGAGCAGTAACCTCTCTCTCTCTCTCTCTTTTTCTCTCTCTCATACTGGGGATTGAACCCAAAGCTTTTGCCCTGAGCTATATCCCCGGCACACACACATACAGACCCTCTTTAAGTTTTGTTTTGAAACGGGGTCTCACTAAGTTGTTAATTGCCCAGGATGAGCTGAAACTTTGGATCCTCCTGCCTCAGCCTCCTAGGGATTATGGGCATGTACCACAATGCCATGCTCTCTTCAGCTGGCTCAAAGGCTGAGGAAGTGAAGGGGTGGGGATGGAGGGAGAGGGGGAGTAGGCACCCTGTGCATCTGCAACTTTGGTTACATTGAGCAAATAAGTAACCATATTTCCGATAACGAGACCCAGATTTCTCATTATGGACAGAAATTGCAAACATGGAAATTGAGGTTAGAAAGAACCCTAAGAATTTAAAGTATCGGTATTGACTCATGTTTTTAAATAAATATACACAAAAAGACATAGATAATATGACATGTGCAAGAAGAGAGAGAAGCCAGGAGTTATGATAGAGACATGGCAGAAAGACAACAGGAGGCCCTGTCCAGACTAGGGGCAGTCTGAGAATCAAAATCCTAATGGTTTAGGCCTCACTGCATAAAATAGGAAGCTGTAACTCCATAGTGATTAAATGAATCAATAAATGGGGGGGGAGGGAAAACTCTTTCTTACCATACTGTTAAGTAATAAATGTAAAAGGAATTGCAGAGATTGATTGATTGATTGATTGATTGATTGGTTTTTTTAGACAAGGTCTCACCATGTAGCCCAGGCTGCCCTTAAATTCAGATCCTCCTGTGTCAGCCTCCCAAGTGCTGGAATTACAGGCAGGGACCCACCTTCTTTTCAGCAGTAGTGTGGTCTAGGGATTAAATTCAGGGCCTCACACTTGCTAGACAAGTGCTCTGCCACTGAACTACATTCCCAGCCCCAGAAATTTTTATATACCATTTGTTACCATCGTAGTGGTAGTTGACTTAGACAGAAAGAGTCAATGGCTAAAGCTGATGGGTAGCAGTCCCCCAGAGAACCAGATACTGGCATTTTCTCTGACTAGTTCCCCACAGAGTACTTATGAAACACAAATGAGGTTAAAGTCATAATGTAGGGTGGAGAAATCTGTCAGACACCAACTTGATCAGCACCGAAGATCAATGTCACCAGTAAGGGGACAGGATGACATCACCTGCCCCTGATGTGATTGATGCTCTCGGAAGACCTGAGTATCATCTCTGTGATGCCAAATCAGGGCCAAATATCAAAGGACCCAGGATAAGGGCGTCCCGCAGAGAAAGAGGCCTGTACTCTCTAAGGCTGTGTGAGAAGGTGAGGGAAAGGACCTAACTGTTCTAGATCAGAGCTGCCCATAGGCTGGGACTCTATTTCCCCTACACCCCCTGGCTGGAGACAGGGCTCAATAAAAGCAGTTATGAGATGGAGACGAACTGGGGGAGTTAGTTAAAAATGCAGGAGCCCATCCCTGAGAGTCAGTTTCCGAAGATCAAGGATCTACATATTTAGCCATCATCCCAGGAAATCCCAATGCAAGCAATCCAGCAATCGCTCTGGGAGGAACATGGCCTTAGGAGTTCAGGAACCTGTAGCCATTTTTCCACGCAGTCCTGATCTTCACTCCCTGTCTCTCTTTTTTTTTTTTTTTTTTT